GTGTGACCAATAGAGCTAAAAAAGTAGCACCCATAGCAGCTGACCCTTCCACCATTCTGTCTTACATCCCACCATCTGCTAACATTTTCTCAGTAATTGATTTGAAGAACGGTTTTTGGGCCTTGCCAATTCACGAGAACTCACAACATTGGTTTGCATTTGTATGCAATATCGAACAGTATTGTTTTCGTCGTTTGCCAGTGGGGTACGCTTCTGACCCTGCCCTGTTTTACAGTGCCGTTAAGAAAGCTCTGGAGAACTGTCAGTTCACGGTAGGTTCCACTATGATTTAATATGTGGATTTTTGTTATTATGTTCAGATTCTCAGACAGCCCATGAAGAGGATCTTGACATCCTCTTGAGACACCTAACACAAGTTGGTCTAAAGGCGTCCCGTGAAAAGGCACAAATTGCGCTCCCAGAGGTAACATACCTGGAACACACTATATCTAAGTGTAAGAAAACTGACGGTTGGCCAAAAAGACGCAATCCAACGACTGCCAATTCCAACAACAATTAGAGGGGTTAAGAAAAGACTGGGACAATTCGGTTATGTCCGCAGTTTTATACCGTCATTCTCATTAATGGCTTAACGGAGACATGACCTGGTAGAGTGGACACCAGAGTGTGAAAAGGCATTTGAAAGATTGAAACAAGTGCTATGCAAAGCCACAGCGCTGGGAATTCCAGATGTACAGTAAATAGAGAGTTTGAGATGTTTGTACATGAGGATAGAGGACATTGTAATGCAGTCATCACACAAAAATATGGAGAAAAAAGTAATGTACTATAGTACAAGATTGGACACAGTAGCGGCAGGAATGCCTTCCTGCCATAGGGGGGTTCAAGCGACAGTCTTAGCAGTAAAAGCGGCAGTTCCGGTGACAATGGGGGCAGTGATTCACATCTATGCACCACATGCAGTGGATATTTTGGTAAACTCAGCAAAGACACAGCATGTGACAGCAAGTAGATGGCACGCCAGGAAAAAGAAATACGCACTGGTGTGTGTTGACACATTCACAAAGTGGGTAGAGGCATTTCCGATGGCTGCGGCCACTGCAAGGAATGTCGCGAAGGCCCTATTGAGGGATATCATTCCCAAATGGGGGGTGCCTCAATCTGTAGATTCAGACAGAGGGACTCATTTTACCTCAATGGTGGTTCAGGCCGTGTGTAAGGCTTTAAAGATGAAACAATCCTTCCACACTCCATACCACCCTATGGGAGAGGCAATTGTTGAACGCAGCAATAAAACGTTGAAGGAGAAACTCAACAAAGCATTTGTCAGAGCAAGGTTCATGGGTAGACCATCTACCCGCAGTTCTGATGGCCACCAGGGAGGCGGCAAATGCTAGGACTCACTTGTCTCCATTCGAGATAGCCATGGGTAGACCCATGAGTGTACCAGGGGCACCAATATCTCTATGGGATCTTCAAGTGATGGGAGACAAACTTCTAAACTATTGTAAACCACTTATACTTGTATTGAGTTCTGTATCTTCCCAGGTGAAAGAGGCCCACTCCCCCAGGATTGGAAAGCACACTCACTACAGCCGGGAGACGAGGTATACTTGAAGGTCCATCAACCGGGTACCTTTCAGCCCAGGTGGACTGGACCCCACACTGTCCTACTAGTGACTGACACAGCAGTGAAGGTGTCGGGAAGGAAGGCCTGGATCCACGTGTCCCAGGAATTTGGAAAGATTAGCAGTTACTAACCTTCAAGTTAGTGTGGGCGGAGGACAATACTTCTGAGAATTGCTCCCCGTGACGTCAAGCCAGGTGAAGCTACAGATACGAAAGAGAGGGGATTATATCAGAGCAAGAGGTTTTACATACCTGTCACTCCGTATTACCCAACACCAATAGGAATTAAATGGTCTGGGAAGATTTTAGATAGTGAGAGACTGAGGACCTGGGGAGAAACAGCTTGGTGGGGCAATCAGACCCTGGACAATATTATGCGAAGAGGGTATAATGACCAGGTAGTCCTTGTCATTAAACGGAATGAGGAAAGAGAGGGATATGAGCAGATGAAGACTTATTTATAGGCTCGGTTAGGCCCTACTTTAGTTCATGAGACAAATATACACCTATGTCTGTGGCAGAGTGGGGGAAGAACAGGACATTCCTATGGAGTATTGGTGTCGGCTTTGGGGGTAACAGGGTATCCCTAAAGCCAAGGCCATAGTCTTTACTGGGACAGGAAATAGAGGAATAAATGTGACGGAGGCGGAGGGATGCCTCGCCTATAAATTAAGAAAATGGGTGATAGACTCATTAGAGAATTATACCACTCCACTGTGTAGCGTTATACAGGGAATAGTGCGCAGTGTGGGAAAGACAGTGGTCTGTGCAGAGTGGAAGGACTACTATGAACATGGAGGACTGTAGGAGGGTGATCATAACCGTCGCTGAAATAGTCTTATCATTTCAGACTTTAATAGCCACATATGGAGAAGGTTTTACTGATGAGGGAACAACAATTGAGAGGGTTGCCACAGACCCGTGTATACAAGAAGCTGTATTCCCAGAGAAAAAGCTTGCAGTAGTGATGGCAGCCCATCTGTTGCAGGGGACGATCAGGAAGCATGTGACCCAGAGATATGTAGAACTGGACACTCTCTCAACCCCACTGCTCTCTCCTCCTTATCAAAGGGCAGATAATCAATTGACATACCTCTCAGAGAACTGGGACCAAGCCACGGTAACAGGAATTTGTAGAGGGATTGTGGAAAAACAACCTGTATGCCCTAAAACCTATGTGGATGATGGGTATGCCGTGGGATGAGAAATGTGATCCAGATCTGAGTAATGGTAATTATTACCCGCCAGTCCCTACTGTAGCACAACATAAGGAGGCAATAGATAAGCTGGTCAGGAAAACGATCGGAGAGGACTGGGAAAAAGGCAGAGAATATCTCACAAACTCAATCATAGATCTAACGGTAAAGCCGGTGACGCAAGTCACTGAGAGAGACAGAGTTAAAGCGGGAGCAATAATTACTGCTGTTACATTGGGAGTAATAACAACAATAGACTTTTAAGGTTGTGGAGGTGCTGTAGGAACAGCATGGTATTGGACTATTGATCAAATAAGGTGGATTTTGGAGTATGCCGCATGGGCAGTGTTGACAGTTACGGGGGTAGCTCTGGTGACATTGTTAGGATTCCATATAGTAAAAGATTTGTTGTTGAAACGCATCTATAGTGCAGATCTGCCACAAGAGGAGGTGAAATTGATTCAGGTTACGGCTCTTTAGGGTAGCTTTAGGAGGTGAACGCAGTGAGGAGGGCTTGGCTGAAAAACATATCTTGTGATCCTGTAGCCCTTGATGGAAGACTGAGGAAAAGCATAATGGGGATATTTAGAGCCCTACTTTTAGTGGACCTTAGCAGAAAAGTATGTCAGTGGGTATAATGTCCAGGGGTAGCAGGAGATTGTGTCAGTCGGGTTCCTCAAGCTGTGTTCAGAGATTTAGTTTATAAATGTATCTACGTAGAAGCTTATGATAATCAGTAGAATGTAGGATTGTTTTAACTCATGAGTGTTTTTTGTATTTGTTTTTTGTTTTCTAGTATTTTCTATTCTCTATCTATCAAGTCTGTTTCTATTACACTCTCAGGTATGGAGAAAACCAAAGAAGAAGAAAGTCTACAGCAGGCAGTTGAAATTATTGTTTAGTGATATTAAACAATAAGAAGTGTTTATGGTTTAATAGGGGGGACTGATGGATTCTGTTAAAATGTAACATGTTTCAGGTTAAACTGTACTTTGTTTGTATACTGTTTAGTGAATGATTACTGTGAGTATTAATGGAGTTTAGGCCATGAAACTGTGTGTATGCTAATTTGGAAAGGTTGACCTAATCAGATAAGAGGAAATTGCCTAGGATCAGGGAGCAGGTTCAGGCCCAGGACAATGAAGATGGACGGGTTGTGATTCTGATATGTAGCTAAACAAAGAGAGGACCACGGACATTCCACAGGGGAGTTAAGGGAAACTCTTTGGAGTCATAAAATGTATAGCTGGGGAGGTGACACCTACAAGAGGGTGGTGACCAAAAGGAGGGAAGAGTATAAGATGTGTAGTGAACTTTCTAAATGTATGCACTCAGCTGACTGCATCCTTGGTATTAAACACTTGAAACTTCTCTTGAACTTTTCGTCTCAATTCCTTATTGCAAAGAGGTTGCAATAGCCTTTTTCTTTTTAACAAGAGATAGGTGGATCTCAATGAAGAATTGCACTGTTTGCATTATGATTACTTCCTTTTCATAGTAGCTTTAACCTATGGGAGGAGGATGTGCATTAATTCGGTATACGTAGTTTGTGTGATCTTTTGCAAATGCTCTCTTTCAACTGCAGTCTGGCCCAGGAACAAAGCCCTATCAGGATGACAACAGAATCCCAATAGGGATGAGTGCACAAAAACAAGTCCAAAGTCATCTGTATGACTCTACTTTGAAGCTTTAGTACTCCCTGTTTCGTCTAATTGTGTTTTGTGTCTTACCATAAGTTTCCATAAGTACAAAGTGAGAATCTTAACATTCAAAAATAAATAGTGTCATTTGAAGTGTTTGACAGATGCGAGACACTTTTAGCAATCAACCTCTGTTCCCTGTTGCCTCCGGTGTCTGGGTGTCTGTCTGCCTACCCATGTACACATGTCTGCTCCTTCCCTAAAAACTGGATTTTGTCCTGAATCGCACTGTTGCTCAACATTTGTGTTACTCCCTAGGCAGTAACGATAGATATCTCAACGGCTCACTCATCTTTTGTGTTACACAGTCCTCACTGTTATACAGCTGAGGGTGAAGCATCTGAGATGCTACTGGGGGAATGGATGTCTATGGACAGTCCTGTGGTACGGTTGGCGTCTGAAGACATAGCTCTACGCCTGGAGAAAGATGGAGCTCTTGAGCTCCCTCTGTGTGAATCCAGGGGGGTGAGGTCAAAGTGACATCACGGGGAGCACAAAGGGGTTCATAGTGACCTGACAAGGTGTTGAGGGGGTCATTGGAAGAGTCCCCATAGTCTGTGGCTGAGCCTGTCCATTTGCATGCTTCCTGCAGAAGTTCTCCTCCTGATGTGGCGATCACCTCTTCCTAGAGAAAGACGGACAGATCATCAGCACATAGCCTATAGCCATGACATGCCTGGTCTTAGATATGCTTGTGCTATACATTCTTATCAACAGCTGTTGTTTTGTCTTTTGCATACTGCATGCATATTATGTAGCTCTACAGTAATATGATGGTTTTATGTTACGATTTTCCAGATTCAATGTGGTGATCTGTGGTGAATCATATTCACACTGTTTATCAGCATTCCCCCCCGGCAGTCTCCAGATGCTTTTTATTTGTATTTGTACACTACACACAATGTTATACTGCATGTGTGTGTAATGTCAAAGAGACATGTGAATTCCTGCAGACCAAGATGCATCCTCCTTTGTACATTAGCATATAACTAATGTCACAGATTCACACATTCAGTTTTGTCAGCCTCCGCATTTCATGTATCCATGGTTACAGCAGTATTATTGAAGATAACACAGGTCAGCCATGTATGTGATTTGTTGCTAAATCAGTTGTAATAGGAAAATATCACTGATGTACTGTATATCATTTGCTGGCTGTCACTTTGATCTTGAGTTACTAGCAGTAACCATTTAACCTGACTTGCACATGGAGTGACTATGCTGACTAACAGCACTGCAGAACACTGAAATCACTGAATTACTGACGTCTATAGCATGCTAAGTGTTTCTGGGTCTAACGAGAGGAAAAACTAATTTCCCTAAATAATTAATGTTGTGTAACGTTTTTATTAACGAAAGGGAATGACAAGTATCTCAGTGACAGAGAGATGATAACGGTTGTATAAATGCATGATTTGAAGAAGGGATGAAACGGTATCAAACTGAGTGGGTATGGGGATGCGTGTTTAGATGCCTGATACCCTGTCTCGGCATGATAGTACAGAGTGCATGTTGCACCCCTCTTTCCAGTGGATTGTGTCACTCATAGGCCCATTCATCAGGCCTTTTGTCACATAACCAGGAGCTACACACTGTGACCTATTATGCAGGGAGTTAGGGCTGAGGGCCACTCGCCAGTAATTAGTCTAGGGTGGCCTATGAATTATTGAAAAGTGCCATCCCTCCAGCCACACACTCTAGCATGCACGAACAGACACACTTTTTTTCAATTCTCCTTTCCTGAGGAAGCAGGCAAGAATACTTTTGAGTTAAATAGTTTGCATGTGGTAATAGTAGTGAAGAGAAGTAGTTTGGTGCAAGAGGGGAAGCTAGGAGGGATCCATATTTTGTCGAGACAACATCCCAGTACTGACCGTGGAACCAGGGTGCAATGGCGGTGCTGTTGCGCTCATAGCCAGCCTGTTTGGGCCTTTGCTCCTCTTTGAACCACAGCAGAACACATTCTCTGGCGCTGGGCTGGGGTGCTCTCACCCAGGCAGGACTGGAGAAGATAGAGAAGTGAAGCATACATAGCCACATGATATTATAATAATAAATAAATACATAATATAGCATGATTGCCCTAAGCCTTTTAATGATGCCGTGATAAAGGTGCATCATGCTTTAGATGAGTTCCAGGCATAAAAAAAGCCTTGCGGGCCTATCGGGTCTGCTTCTGTGTATCTCTCAATATATATTAAATACTTTTTTTTACTTCACCACTCTATGCAGGTAGCTTAGTGGTTAAGCGCGTTGTGCCAGTAACCGAAAGGTTGCTGGTTCTAATCCCCGAGCCGACTAGGTGAAAAATCTGTCTGTGTCTTTGAGCAAGGCACTTAACTCTAATTGCTCCTGTAAGTCGCTCTGGATAAGAGTGTCTGCTAAATGACTAAAATGTATGTATCTTATCTGTATATGGATTGGTTGCTGCATAGTAATTATGCTATATCTATCCTTGTACATATTCATGAATAGTAGGCCAATTTTGTATCTGTCCTGTACCTGTCCATCAGTGGATGTGTAACAATGAGGCTGTGTCTTTGGCGCTGTCTGCGGCGGTACAGTGGAGGAGCAGCAGGCTGGACCTGGGGCAGTGGGGACGCTGTGGGTGGTGGAGGAGGAGGATGACTCTAGCATGGTGCTGTGTCTCCTGAGGGAGGCTGCTGTTTGTCCGTTCCCCACCACAGTGCCCTGCTGGAACAGCCAACTGAGCCCCGCCACACGGCCCTTCTCAATGGCCCGCAGGGACTGCCGGTTGTATTCGACACGTGCCTGCATCTTATGAAGGCTTTATAAGCACTACATACATGGGTCATAAATCATCAGTAACCGTTTTTCATGCTCTAGAATGATTCATAATGTGGCATAACTGTGTGACATAACCATATAATGTATTTTTTCACATTTATTAATCCTTTATAGAGCATGAAATACAGTTATAGATGATTTGTGACCCATTTATGTAGTGGTTACAAAGCCTATATGACTGCTTTATGAAGCCTTCATAAGATGGACTTCAAATACAGCGGGACCGTGTATTTAAACACAACTGCAAACTTCAAGGAGTAGGGCTTTCAAGGAATTGGTTTGATGGGAAGTTGTGATGTCTTCGGCCTCCCCCCTTACTTGAGGAACAATAGAGGAGCAATAGAGAACACAAGAGGAATGCCCCCCCCCCCACCCCCAGGTGTTAAATTAGATAAAAAGGAGACTGGATTCACCCATTTTGAATGTTATATTGTATTTGTGCATCCATGAGTGATGTTCTATCGATTCCTGGGGTCATTTCATGTTTTCATGTGTATCTGAGCTATTCGCCGTTCAATCAGGCAGAAATACAGCCAGTATGATGAGTTTTGTGTCATATGAGAACATTCAAAATGAGTGAATCATTCCTTTAACTGTAAAAGTTTGAGGATAAACAACAGAAGTTTTGGAGTTGATATTTAGGGAGGGACAGAAATGAATAAAAGAGGATCATGTAAAAATAAGGGATGGAGAAGAGGAGGTGATCAATGGAAAGGAAAACAGGTGTAGAGAGAAAAGGCAGGGAAGACTTGACTTCCGTTGCTCCTCCCATTCCTTCTCATCCTTCTCACCCCTTTGTTCCTGCTCTAGGGAGATATACATCTCCCTCACTCTCTTCTCCTCCGCATGTTTGATCTCCTCCTCACCTTGCTGTCTCTCCTCCTCTCGTTTCTGTCGGAGAAAAAATATGTGAGGAATGGGAAACAAAAGACAGGTGGGCGTACACACACACACACACACACACACACACTGACTGCAGAGGTATTTGCATATAATTTCGTAACAAGACACAAAAATAATTGTCCAGGACTGTCTGCAGTAAATACAGGACCTGTATGTCCCTGACTGTCATGATTGCTGCATCTTGTACCCTGGCCTGCTGATAAATGTAGGCCTATTATAATATTTAGGGTTTGCGCCCTTCCCCTGCCCCAGTTAGTCCAACTAGGCTGTCCTCTAATTGACTTCAATAATGACCTCATTCTCCAGTATGATATTCCATACACACTGCTTGTGATGAACACAAGCATTCAGCTCATCATCTGTGCTGAAGTGGAAGTGGAAGTAAAAACACATTGCATTGTGGTAATTTGAACCATTAAAGCCCTGTAATCCATTGCATGGAGTAATTACCATTGAGTTATGGAGTGAAAACAGGCAGCTTTTGACCGGGACAATTGTTAGCTGTTATGTTTTGTTGTAGCTAAAATGCTTTTTTCCCTGCTGGAGAGCGGTGAGTGACAGTTCTGACAGTTGTGACAGCGAGATAATTGGTGTTGTTTGATGCTGTGGAAAGAACATACAGTGTATAGAACCTCAGTGAACATATTCAGAGTTTCAGACCACACAGGGTTCTGCTTTGGCAAGGCAAGCATTCACCACGTGTGCCCAGCGATTGGGTTTCTCTAGAGGTCAAAGGCTACTCTGCTGTGAATGCAACCAACAGGGGTTCAAACCAGGGTTATCAGCACAATGGACCCATCATATTATTATTTTATTTATTTATTATAATACATTTTTTATTGGAGGGGGGGGGGGGGGGGGGTGTAAAGCAGATTTAATATTGCATATCAATTGTGGGTTCTGTCAATGTATTTCTCTGCATCATTTCCAATCTCCCATATATTATTTTCTTATTTAAAAAAATATATATTTACCTTCTATATTATTTTCCCCTAACCCTACCACCCCTCCCCTAATTGGAGTAAACCAATGGACAACAACACTTAGGGTTCTACTCCCAGCTTATACATATTATATACATTTTATGGACATGGTAAATGGACACGGTATATTTTACATATGTTATCTTTTTTCATTTTCTTTTTTTTTGTTGCTACCTTTAACCCCTTCCATATATCTCTGAAAACCATCCAGTTTTGATTTCGACTTGCCATATATTTTTCAATTGTGCTGTGATATTTCAAAAAAGTTCTGAACCTTTCTATTCTCATAGTTTATACAGATTGTAAATTAAAGATGAAAATATGTACTAACAGTATTATTATATTATTGATTGATTGACTATGGCTTTTCAAATCACCCAACAGTGCTATTTGCAGAGATAGCTTTAAGTAAATGTTGTGATTTTTAAGCCATTCCTGAACCTGTGACCAAAAACAAGCTACAGTGCCTTCCGAAAGTATTCATACCCTTTGTCTTATTCCACATTCTGTTGTGTTACAGCCTGAATTCAAAATGGTTTAAGCAGATTTTTTCTCACCCATCTACACACAATACCTCATAATGACAAAGTTAAAACATGTTTTTAGAAAATGTTGCTAATTTATTGAAAATGAAATACAGAAATATTCCATTTACCTAAGTCTTTCTGGGTAAGTCACTAAGAGTCTTGCACACCTGAATTGTACAACATTTGCACATTATTCTTAAAATATTTATTGAAGCTCTGTCAGGTTGGTTGTTGATAATTGCTAGACAGCCATTTTCAAGTCTTGCCATAGATTTTCAAGCTGATTTAAGTCAAAACTGTAACTAGGCCACTCAGGAACATTCAACGTCGTCTTGGTAAGCAACTCCAGTGAATATTTGGCCTTGTGTTTTAGGTTAATATCCTGCTGAAAGGTGCTTTTGGCTCCCAGTGTCCTTGGGAAAGCAGACTGAACCAAGTTTTACTCTAGGACTTTGCCTGTGCTTAGCTCTATTACATTTATTTTCATCCCCAAAAAACTCCCTAGTCCTTGCTGATGACACCCATACCCATAACATGATGCAGCCACCTCCATGCCTGAAAATATGAAGAGTGGTACTCAGTTTTGTGTTTGTTGGATTTGCCCCAAACTTGCTTTGTATTCAGGACATACAGTTCATTGCTTTGCCAATTCTTTTGCAGTTTTACTTTAGTGCCTTATTGCAAACAGGATGCATGTTTTGGAATATTTTTTTATCCTGTATAGGCTTCCTTCTTTTCACTCTGTCATTTAGGTTAGTATTGTGGAGTAACTACAATGTTGTTGATCCATCCTCAGTTTTCGTCTAACACAGCCATTAAACTCTTTAACTGTTTGAAAGTCACCATTGACCTCATGGTGAAATCCCAGAGCGGTTTCCTTCCTCTCCGACAACTGGTTAGGAAGGACTCCTGTATTTTTGTAGTGACAGGTTGAGAGCTTCAGGTTCCTTGGTGTCCACATCACCAACAAACTATCATGGTCCAAACACACCAAGACAGTCGTGAAGAGGGCACGACAAATCCTATTCCCCCTCAGGAGACTGAAAAGATTTGGCATGGGTCCTCAAATCCTCAAAATGTTGTACAGCTGCACCATCGAGAGCATCCTGACTGGTTGCATCACCGCCTGGTATGGCAACTGCTCGGCCTCCAACCGCAAGGCACTACAGAGGGTAGTACGTATGGTCCAGTACATCACTGGGGCCAATCTTCCTGCCATCCAGGACCTCTATACCAGGCGGTGTCAGAGGAAGGCCCTGAAAATTATCAAAGACTCCAGCCACCATAGTCATAGACTGTTCTCTCTGCTACCGCACGGAAAGCGGTACCGGAGCACCAAGTCTAGGTCCAAAAGGCTTCTTAACAGCTTCCCCCCACCCCACCCCACCCCACCCCAACCCCCTCTTTTACGCTGCTGCTGCTCTGTTTATTATTTATGCATAGTCACTTTAACTCTACCCACATGTACATATTATCTCAATTACCTCGACTAACCGGTGCCCCCGAACATTGACTCTGTACCGGTACCCCCTGTATATAGCCTCCCTACTGTTATTTTATTTTACTGCTGCTCTTTAATTATTTTTATTTTTTGCTTATCTATTTTTTACTTAACAATAGCATTGTTGGTTAAGGGCTTATAAATAAGCATTTCACTGTAATGTCTACACCTGTTGTATTCGGCGCATGTGGCAAATAAAATGTGATTTGATTTGATTTGACTGGGTGTATTGATACACCACCCGAAGTGTAATTAATAACTTCACCATGCTCAAAGGAATATTCAATGTCTGTTTTTATCTAGCAATAGGTGCTCTTTGCGAGGCATTGGAAAACCTCCCTGGTCTTTGTGGTTGAATCTGTGTTTGAAATTCACTGCTCGACTGAGGGACCTTACAGATAATTGTATATTTGGGGTACAGAGATGAGGTAGTCATTCAAATCATGTTAAACACAAAAATGTAGTTAAACACAATTATTGCACATTATTGCAACTTATTATGTGACTTGTTAAGCACATTTTTACTCCTGAACTTATTCAGGCTTGTCATAACAAAGGGGTTGACTCTAGACATTTCAGCTTTGAATTTTGAATTATTTTCAAAGAAAAATCTATAAACATAATTCCACATTGACATTATGGGGTATTGTGTGTAGGCCAATGACACAAAATCTCAGCCAGAAGCCAGGGTTGCGAATTGACTGAACTGAAAACTGAATTGGTGGAAGACTAATGACCTAACTTTGCTACACATAGTCTAGTCATGCAATTTTGGCCTCTTCTATTTTTCATATTTTTGTCTCAGTGTCTTCCTTTTTCCAGAGTTTCAGACAGGGAAACGTTTAATGACTCAGCCCTTTTCCTTCAGGCGAGCTCAACAGAGGAGGGCAATGTTAAACGAGCTCTTTAATATTTGCAGAGTTTCTTAAGTAGGTCTCATTCGTCCAGGTTCTGCATCATCCAGGACTTCGATGCTCCAACAAGGCTCTATGGTACAACAGTGATTGGATGCACAGTTGTGGTACTGCCCCCAGAGATTCCCATCCATCTCTACACGCGCACACGCACGCACGCACGCACGCACGCACGCACGCACGCACGCACGCACGCACGCACGCACGCACGCACGCACGCACGCACGCACGCACGCACGCACGCACGCACGCACGCACGCACGCACACACACACACACACACACACACACACACACACACACACACACACACACACACACACACACACACACACACACACAGTGTTGGTCTGTGCAGTGCACTCCCTGGGAAATACTTCGCCCCTGTTCCTCAGATCCCTCTAATAAGGCTGATTCTCCCTCTGCTAGTGTGCTTCCCAGATTTAGTATTGATCGTCCGATCCTGCTCTCATATTTCTCCCTCCTGTAGAGCAGGGGAGCTGGGACGCAGACTGAGCGGACGTCCTCTCTCTCTAACAGCAGTGTGGCGTTGCACCGTGCAGCTTAAATAATTAAATATTTAATGGGACTGATCTGGCAAGCAAGTCCAGCAAATAAATGTTTTGCCCTCAAGTTGGGCATCAACACAATCTCTGTAGAAGACACTGATCACTTGGATTGTATGGGAAAAGTCATCCGACTCACATTTCCAAATCATAACCAAAGATCCCCATCACTCACATACAACTAGACACACATGCACGCACGCATGCACCCACACAAACACACACACACACACACACACACAAAGTGTTCGTCTGTGCAGTGCACTCCCTGAGAAATACTTTGCCCCTGCCCCACAGATCCCTCCCACACAAACACACACACAGCCTTTGCCCTACCTTGAGCTCTTCCTGGATGCGTTCCTCATCCTGCTTGGCAGCCTTCCTGTCCTCCGTTTCTTCCTTCCACTTCCCTGCCACAAAATGGGCCTTTTCCTTCGCCATAGCATCCCAGAACTTATTTTCAATCTCAGCCTCTTTGGTTTGCCTGAGCAGGAGGGTTGTTGAAATATACCTTGTTGTGAAAGGAAGGGGTGGGAAATCTACTTAAAGCCCAAATTGACATGGGTCTCTTTGCATCAAGGTGCATGCTGTTATGAATAAGACATCTTTGGAAAGTTTCTGTCTAGTTCTGACTCTATAACACACAACAGATATCTCATTATCTGCCCCTCTCATCCCTCTTACAATATAATCTCTCTCTGGCACATTTTCATTTCCTTCTATAACATTTAACACAGATCAATCGTTTACCTTTGGCATTTAAATCCTCGCACTGGGTTATGTGGGCATCCTTTCCCCTCCCCAGTCACCAGAGCTCCTTGGCCTCCTGCTGAGCCTGCCGTCTGGCTTTCTCACCCCATCAGCTCCTTGATGATGTCATCATAAGGCTTATCTCCAGGAGCGTCACCCATCACCCACACCCACACATCCCCATAACTCTCCTGCAGCTACTGGATACCTCTCCTGCTGCCTGAGCAGGTACAGTGGGGTAAGCGTGTTAGCATCACCTTTGACTGTCTATGACAAAAAAAAAACGTGGCAAACACAACCTCTCCAGTTTCTTTTGGGAATATTGTATTTAACCATACTTACCACTACCAATATCAAACATCCCTATGAAATCATAATTTAGACACAGCTAAAAGCATGTCTAAATCTACACTCCGCTTGTCAAAAAACACTATTTCAGTACAGTACACCAAGACTCACCCTTCTTCCCCTTGGCCTGGTCCTGGTCCTGGTTCTGGTTCTCCCACTCATTTACATTTACATTTACGTCATTTAGCAGACGCTCTTATCCAGAGCGACTTACAAATTGGTGCATTCACCCTATAGCCAGTGGGTTAACCACTTTACAAGAAAGGTTATTTTTAATTTTATTTTTATTTTTTTAAATTTATTTTATATAATATATATATATATTTTTTTTTTGGGGGGGGGGGGGGGGGGGGGGTAGAAGGATTACTTTATCCTATCCCAGGTATTCCTTAAAGAGGTGGGGTTTCAAATGTCTCCGGAAGGTGGTGAGTGACTCCGCTGTCCTGGCGTCGTGAGGGAGCTTGTTCCACCATTGGGGTGCCAGAGCAGCGAACAGTTTTGACTGGGCTGAGCGGGAACTATGCTTCCGCAGAGGAACGGGAGCCAGCAGGCCAGAGGTGGATGAACGCAATGCCCTCGTTTGGGTGTAGGGACTGATCAGAGCCTGAAGGTACGGAGGTGCCGTTCCCCTCACTGCTCCATAGGCAAGCACCATGGTCTTGTAACGGATGCGAGCTTCAACTGGAAGCCAGTGGAGTGTGCGGAGGAGGGGGGTGACGTGAGAGAACTTGGGAAGGTTGAACACCAGACGGGCTGCGGCATTCTGGATGAGTTGTAGGGGTTTAATGGCAGAGGCAGGGAGCCCAGCCAACAGCGAGTTGCAGTTCTCCAGACGGGAGATGACAAGTGCCTGGATTAGGACCTGTGCCGCTTCCTGTGTAAGGCAGGGTCGTACTCTCCGAATGTTGTAGAGCATGAACCTGCAGGATCGGGTCACCGCCTTGATGTTGGCGGAGAACGACAGGGTGTTGTCCAGGGTCACGCCAAGGCTCTTCGCACTCTGGGAGGAGGACACAACGGAGTTGTCAACCGTGATGGCGAGATCATGGAACGGGCAGTCCTTCCCCGGGAGGAAGAGCAGCTCCGTCTTGCCAGGGTTCAGCTTGAGGTGGTGATCCGTCATCCATACTGATATGTCGGCCAGACATGCAGAGATGCGATTCGCCACCTGGTTATCAGAAGGGGGAAAGGAGAAGATTAGTTGTGTATCGTCAGCGTAGCAATGATAGGAGAGGCCATGTGAGGATATGACAGAGCCAAGTGACTTGGTGTATAGGGAGAAAAGGAGAGGGCCTAGAACTGAGCCCTGGGGGACACCAGTGGTGAGAGCACGTGGTGCGGAGACAGCTTCTCGCCACGTCACTTGGTAGGAGCGACCGGTCAGGTAGGACGCAATCCAGGAGTGAGCCGCGCCGGAGATGCCCAGCTCGGAGAGGGTGGAGAGGAGGATCTGATGGTTCACAGTATCAAAGGCAGCAGACAGGTCTAGAAGGACAAGAGCAGAGGAGAGAGAGTTAGCTTTAGCAGTGCGGAGAGCCTCCGTGACACAGAGAAGAGCAGTCTCAGTTGAATGACCAGTCCTGAAACCTGACTGGTTTGGATCAAGAAGGTCATTCTGAGAGAGATAGCAAGAGAGTTGGCTAAAGACGGCACGCTCAATAGTTTTGGAAAGAAAAGAAAGAAGGGATACTGGTCTGTAGTTGTTGACATCAGTGGGATCGAGTGTTGGTTTTTTGAGAAGGGGTGCAACTCTCGCTCTCTTGAAGATGGAAGGGACATAGCCAGCGGTCAAGGATGAGTTGATCAGCGAGGTGAGGTAGGGGAGAAGGTCACCGGAGATGGTCTGGAGAAGAGAGGAGGGGATGGGGTCAAGCGGGCAGGTTGTTGGGCGGCCTGCAGTCACTAGTCGCAAGATTTTATCTGGAGAGAGAGGGGAGAAAGAAGTCAAAGCATAGGGTAGGGCAGTGTGAGCAGGACCAGCAGTGTCATTAGACTTAACAAACGAGGATCGGATGTCGTCAACCTTCTTTTCAAAGCCTTACCTGCTCCTGGCGGATCTTATAGAACAGGATCTGCTTCTGCTCCTCATTGAGCTCGTCCAGCAGGTCCAAATTGATGTGCATATCCCTCAAAATCTGCTGCATCATCTTATCAACACACAGCTTCCAAATACCCAAGATATCTCAGGGTGAACCTGAGGTTAGGGTTATGGGGCCATGAACCCCTTTTATCATTTCACTTCATGTTTGGGAGATGTAGTTCTCATCTTCCTCTCTCCTTCTCTTCTACATGCTATTAGTATCAGATTAGTGTTGTTTTCTTTCCATTATTCCTGCTATCTTGTAATTAAGCTTGTGTATACAGTTTTATTCATGTTCAGAGCTAGACAACAGGTTATTCAGTATTATAACGAAATTATATAAACCGCCTAACTCCAGTCAAATGCCTTATTCATGCAAGTCATTATACAATCCATGTGCACTGTAATCTGCCTTGGATTTATAACAATCCCTTTGATTTGATTTAGCAACAACATCTCCTCTCCCACCAGCAAAATAAACCATCCACAGTACAGTAAATAGGGCAGACATAAAGTTTAACTCTCCCCTAGCTCTGCTCTGTTTCACAGGGATGTCATTGGGAGAATGACTTCCTCTACCATTCCCTGTGCTGTTATCAGTCTGCCTGCCTGCCCCTAGTCATTTCAGACAACACTCACACATAAAGCGGATAGCGACCCGAACAGGGCGGTTTTTGTCTTCATAGGCCAACGCTGAAAACGGATACAGCAGCAAACACCAGGTGGCCATGGCTGTCAGCTGTGTGCGTGTGTGTGTGTGTGTCAGGGTCTTAGTATTCAGTAAGCATACAGCCCAACATAATACGCTCTGCTGGGGACTGCCATCCACAAACTGCTATGAGGCACATTTCTCTTTCTCTCGCTAGCTCACTATCTCTCTCTCTCTCTCTCTCTCTCTCTCTCTCTCTCTCTCTCTCTCTCTCTCTCCTCTCTCTCTCTCTCTCTCTCTCTCTCTCTCTCTCTCTCTCTCTCTCTCTCTCTCTCTCTCTCTCTCTCTCTCTCTCTCTCAACACACAGAACATTAGGCAGCTTGATTTATGAAGGCATTGGGGGCTGTGAATATGGAGCCACCTCCCCAAGTGGCAGGCATCTGAAGCATAATTCCACAGCAGTATAATGAATCAAATTTCGGATTTCACCCGCCATTTTAGTGGAGAAGAAGCTGCTGGTGTGCATCCATAAACACTTGAAAGTGTGAAGACACACTGAGATATAAAGTACATGGCTCATACAAGCATACATACTGTATACACCATGGGTAATAAAGCATGCACACACACATGATTTATTGTAAAACTTTTTCACTCAAAAAAATAATTCACAGGCAGACAATAAAGCTTCCTAGCCCTTTGTTTCCATAAAGCTTTGCTTGTTGTTGTTAACTGTATGAACAGAGTGGTTTTCAATCTGAATGGAAAAGCATCCTTTGTGTGAGTGCACACATTGTAAACAATATAAACCATGCAAACAATACCAGCATAGACTATAGGCCTTCTGGTTTCAGCTCCTGTGTTAGGAACACATTGTACTTGAGTGGATGTGATAACTGAAGAGTCTGTGTGTTGATGTACCTAGGGCTGTGGCGATAATGACATTTTGTCAGTTGGTTATTGTCATGCAAAAGGCTGCCGGTCTCATGGGATTTGACCTAATCAATGTTTAGCATCTCCAGGCCTCCACACATACAAGCCACATACAAGCTGTTGATGCATGCCTTTCGAACATCTACATTTAAAAAAGTTGAATAAATCAATTTAATATACCACATCACAATAAAGCCATTATTAATGTTAGGCAGGTCTAAAGAAACATTATGATATGAAGAAAATGTATTTCAGAAGAACAGAATATGAGTTGACCTACTGTATGTTATCTGGCTATGCGCCATGCCATAGGCTGTAGGCTAGTTCGTTTCGCAGACAACATACACTTATAAGTCCTGTGTCATTATTTTATATTATATGATTTTATAGTAAGAAGAATATAATTGACCTTCGCAGACTAAAATAGAAATTATATTTTTCCCATGCTGAATAGAGTGCCATGATAAGAGGCCTACAGAACAAAGACACAACAAAAATTACTTTTAAAAAAACAGTTAGAAATAATGTGACTAACCTGAAATCAGTGGAGTCTACTGGAGAACGGAAGAGAGACTTTATGTGTAATACTATTCTCATTCTTCGGTGCTACAAGTGGAGTGAGAGACCGCCAACGTTTTGCTGGGACACAGAAGATTGGCTAGCTTGCTAATGGCGCTGGGACCGGAGAGTCTTCAGCTACAGAGAGGCGAGTTAGCAGCAGCACGGGATCGGGAACAGCAAAGTCGAGGATCGGGACACTGAATAGCGCGGGAAGTTGCAGCTCGAGGAAAGCGGACATTGAACTACAGCAAAGGGAAGTAAAAACTGTCACTATTGGATTTAGACTTAACATCATTCATAGAACAGGATAGTACCAGTGTGAATGGACAGTGACAGTGTGAAGTTGGCAACAATAACAATTTGCCACAGTAGCAGACAGTGCAATTTATGCAAATACAGCTATTATGGAAACTCATGAGCTGGAGCATATCGTTAGCTCTAACATTTACATTTACGTCATTTAGCAGATGCTCTTATCCAGAGCGACTTACAAATTGACTAACTATAGAAGCAGATTACTAACTCATTCTAGCTGAAGATCATTAGTTTGGTAACGGATATGAGAGAAGCAAACTTGTGACTTCACAGTGACTCTAAGAGAAAGAACATTATTCTCTCA